AATACTCAATTATCACCAGAAGATCCGTAAACATGATAAGAACGATCAATTTAACAATACTAGCCTAAACACGGATAACATGACCAAAGGAAGCTATAATTGCAAGAAACCAAGCCCCACCTGCATGCTTTAACCCGACTACAACGCATAAGTATTCGTCACCTCACATATACGTTGTTCCCCAATATTTAAACATGTAGCAGATAGACAAACAAATCATATTCCCTCAAGTCAAGGCTAACCACGACACTTACCTCGCTCCAAAGGCCACTCAATGCTCAATTACCGCTTTTCCTCTAGAATCCACCTCCAAACCACTCGTATCTATCCACAAACGACTTAATAATATCAAATATTGCTAAAGAAATCAATTACAATGCATAAATTTAGATTCCCCAAACTTTTTCCCAAAAAGTCAAAAATCGACCCCGGGCCCGCTTGGTCAAAACCTGAGGTTCGGACCAAAATCCATTTACCCATTCACTCTCGAGCCCGATTATTTCATTTGTTTCGAAATCCGACCTCAATTCGAGGTCTAAATTCTAATTTTACAAAAATTCCTAATTCTACCCAAACCCCCAAATTTCACCATGAAAACCCTAGATTTTAGGTTGAAAACTCATGAAATGTAATGGGTAATTGAAAGGAAGTAGGTTAGAATCACTTACCAACGAATTGGGAAGAAAATCTTATGGAAGAATCGCCTCTAGTTCTCTTAATTTTTAAATTTTGAAAGAATGGCAAAAATCCCGTTTTGGTTATGTTTTTAATAACTGGGCGTCAGGTATTCATCGCGTTCACGTGAATCCTGATGCGTTCGCGATAAGCAGTACCAGTTAGTCTTACGTGATCGCGAGTCCCTCATCGCATTCGCGAAGGCTGCTCTCCCTGGCCTTCGCGAACCCGTGCTCGCGTTCGCGATGAAGCGATGACTGACCCTTCCCCCAGGTCCCTAAAGCTACGCATTCGCGATGAGCTGGTCGCGTTCTCGAAGGGTAAGGCCCCCATCACTCCGCGTTCGCGACCCAGCCGTCGCGTTCGCGAAGAAGAAAACTTTCCCTAGGCCAGTTCACTCTTCGCGATCGCGAGAATGGCTTCGCGATCGTGAAGCACAATGCACCAGAACACCAGCTGCAGCAAAACGCCAGATTTCTCTAAGTCCAATTCACCCCGTAGCCTATCTGAAACTCACCCGAGCCCTCGGGGCTCCAAACCAAACATTCACACAAGTCCTAAAATATCATACGAACTTGCTCGCGCGATCGAAACACCAAAATAACGCCTAAATGTACGAATCGGGTACCAAATCAAAGGAAATTTTCAAGAAGACTTTAAAACTTCTATTTTCACAACCGAACATCCGAATCATGTCAAATCAACTCCGTTTCTCACCAAATTCGACAGACAAGTCATAAATATTATAGTGGACCTGTATCGGGCTTCGGAACCAAAATACGGACCCGGTATCAATAAATCCAAACATCAGTCTATTCTTAAATATCATAAATCTTTCAAACTTTCAATTTTCAACAAAAATCAATAACTCAGGCTAGGGACCTCCGAATTCAATTTCGGGCATACGCCCAGGTCTTAAATTACGATACGGACCCACAGGGACCGTCAAAACATAGATTTGGGTCTGTTTGCTCAAAACGTTGTCTGAAGCCAACTTAAATGAATTTTTAAGATAAAATTCTTATTTTTATCAGTTGTTAACATATACGCCTTCCGGAAGAACACCCGGACTATGCACACAAATTGAGGAAGGTTAAAATGAGGTTTTTGAGATCTCAAAACACAAAATTAGTTTCTAAATTATAAGATGACTTATCGGGTCATCACAGATTCTCTGGCATTTATTGCAAGTGGCGACATAATTCCTTGTATCTTTGAATAGAGTAGGCCAGAAAAAGCCAACTTCAAGTACTTTAGATGCTGTCCTTTTTCCTCCATAGTGTCCTCCTACAGCCCCATCATGCTAGTGACTTAACATGTTGTTCATTTCTGTCTCCGGTACACATCTCCTGATTATGTCATCTGCACAAAATTTAAACAAGTAAGGATCTTCCTAGTAATAATGTCTTGCTTCTTTTTTAAGTTTTTTCTTTTGTTCGTAAGAAAAATCTTTTGGAATCCATCCTCCAGCCAAGTAGTTGGCAATATCAGCAAACCAAATTAGTCAATTTATAATAGTTGTGACTGAAAATATATGTTCATTAGGAAATTTCTCTTTGATATCTTTTATCTCAGTAGGAGGATTTTCCAAACGAGACAAATGATCAGCTACCTGATTCTCAGAACCTTTTCGATCTATCATTTTAAGATCGAATTCTTACAAAAAGAGTATCCATCTTAGTAATCTAGGTCTAGCATCTTTCTTTGCTAAGAGGAACTTTAAAGCTTCGTGATCAGTATAAATTATAACCTTTGTTCCTATCAAATAGGAACGAAATTTGTCAAACCCAAATTCTACTGCTAGTAGTTCCTTCTCAGTTGTAGCATAATTCTTTTGAGCTTCATTAAGTGTTCTACTGGCGTAGTAGATAGGTCTGATGATCTTGTCTCTCTTTTGTCCCAATATCGCTCCTACTACTGTAACACTTGCATCACACATTATTTCAAAGGGTTGTCTCCAGTCAGGAGAAACAACAATTGGAGCATTAGTCAATTCTTTCTTGAGAATCTCAAATGCTTTCCTGCAATAATCTGAAAATTCAAACTTCACATCTTTCATCAGTAGGTTAGTCAGAGGTTTTGAAATTTTTGAAAAATATTTTATAAACCTTCTATAAAAACGTGCATGCCCTAAGAAACTTCTAATGCCTTTAACAATAGTAGGAGGGGGTAATCCTGCTATAAGATCAATTTTGGCCTTATCAACTTTTATCCCTTTAGAAAAAAATTTATGTCCTAAAATAATTTCCTCTATTACCATGAAGTGACATTTTTTCCAATTAAGAACCAAATTTGTCTCTTCACATCTTTTAAGCACCAAAGTTAAATGATAGAGACAATCTTCAAATGTCTTACCAAAAAGTGTGAAATCATGCATAAATATTTCAAGAAACTTTTTAGTCATATATGAGAAAATTGCCGACATGCAACGCTGAAATATAGCAGGAGCATTGCATAGTCCAAATGGCATTCTTCGATAAGCATATGTATCGAGTGTTGTTTTCTCCTGATCTTCTAGAGTAATTGGTATCTTATTATACCAAGAATATCTATCAAGAAAATAGTAAAAACCGTAGCTTGAACCTCTTTCAAGCATTTGGTCAATAAAGGGCAAAGGAAAATGGTCTTTTCTTGTGGCTTCATTAAGTCGTCTGTAATCAATACAAACTCTCCATCTTATGACTGTTCTAGTAGGTGCGAGTTCATTGTTTTCATTTTTTATTACTGTCATACCTCATTTCTTTGGTACTACCTGTACAAGACTTACCCAAGGACTGTCAGATATTAGATAAATGATACTTGCTGCTAGTTTCACCATTTCTTTCTTGATAACTTCCTGCATTGCTGGATTCAGTCTCCTTTGGGGTTGGACTATTGGCTTATAATCATTCTCCATAAGAATCATGTGCTTACAAATAGCTAGACGGATTCCTTTGATGTCGGCTATAGTCCACTCTAAGGCTCTTTTGTGTTTTCTCACGACTCCAATCAGTTTGCTTTCATGTTCTATAGTCAAAGAAGATGAAATGATTACTGGAAATGATTCAAGTTCAAGAAACACATATTTTAAATGAGAAGAAAGATCTTTGAGTTTAATTTTTAATTGAACTCCTTCTTGTGAGACTTTCTCATTTTTTGACTCTTTTTCCAGCATTTCAGTTTTTTCTCTAATTATGGGGTTGTCATCACTTATGGTACCTGACCTAGCGAAATATCTCTCTAATGAATCAATAATTAACTGATTATCTTTGTATTCATCTACAAGGTCATTTAGTAAGTCAATTTGAAAACAAGATGATGATGACTCATCCCCAGGAAATTTAATCATTTTCTGCATGTCAAAAATTACTCTTTCCTCATCAACTCGCAATATTAATTGTCCTTGATGAACATCAATAATTGCTCTTCCTATTGCGAGAAATGGTTTACCTAAAATTAATGCTTTCTCAATATTTTCTTCCATTTCAAGTACTATAAATCTACTGGGAATACAAATTTGTCAACTCTAATAAGGATATTTTTAATAATTCCTTTTGGTCTCTTAGTACTTTGATCAGCTAATTGAAAAGACACACCAGTATCTTTCATTTCACCAAGTTCTAATTTTCGCAAAATTGAAAAAGGCATTAGATCTATTGAAGCACCTGAATCACATAACGCCTTTTCAAAGTGAGTACCTCCCACAATACAAGGAATTGTAAAACTTCCCGGACCACCAAGTTTATGTGGGAGCTTATTTTGAAGTATAGCACTACATTTTTCTGTAAGCTTAACCGCTGAAACTTCTTCCAATTTTCTTTTACTTGACAAAATTTTTTTGAGAAATTTAGCATATAAAGGCATTTACGTCAAAGCATCTGTGAAAGGTATGTTAATGTAAAATTGCTTCAAAATATCTAGAAACTTTCAAACTGTTTGTCAAGCTTTTCTCTTTTCATCTTTTGGGGAAAAAGGGAGAGGTACAGAGTGAGGATTTCTTTATCAATTCATTTTCTAGTGCATTTTTTTCTTTATCCTTTTGTTCTTTTGGGAACTTAAATTTTGTTTTGTTCTCACCTTCATTTATCTTTCCACTTCTTGTGGCTTTCCTTCTCTATCTGCATATGGATCATCAAGAACTTTACCTGACCGTACAGAGATGACTTTGAGGCGTTCTTTTGGATTTTCTCAGTGTTTCTTGGTATAACACCTTGAATTTGTTCAGACATAAGGGTTGCTAATTGACTTACCTATATTTCTAAATTCTTGATAGCTGAATATTGACTTTTAACCTTCTCGTCAGTAGCCTTAATGAATTTGTATATCAAGTCTTCATGGCTTTGTTGATGAGCTCTTTGGGGTTGCTGCTGATATTGTTGAAAATTTTGTTACCCTCTATTTTGATTTTGAAAACCAGGTGGTCCCTGTACCTGCTGCTTTTGATTAAAAATTTTTTGAGAATTTTCAACACCATTAGGATTACTCAATTGAAATCCTGAAAGTTTTTGTGCCATGGGACTACCAAATGAGTAATTATTTCTATAACCAATCACATTTACCTGTTCCTCATTTTGTGTTAAAGGTTGACATTCATGATTCGGATGGTTACCTTAAAAAACATCACAATTCTCAAGCTGGGATGATGAGTGAGCACCTACCTGAAAAGCCTCCACTTTTTGTTTTAAGGTCGCAATTTGTTGTGTCAATGAATTCAAAGCTTCAACTCGTGCCTTTTTTTGATAATCATTCTATCTGACGGCCATTGAACAACATTTTCCGAAATTTTATTAAGCAATTGCATTGCTTCTATAGTAGTTTTTCCCATTATTGATCCTCCTGATGCTGCATCAATTACATTTCTAGCAGAGGGTTTAAGACCGTGATAGAAAATATATAAAATGTCAGGGTCTTGGATCTCATGATGTGGGCATTTTTTTAACATTGCTGCTAATCTTTCCCATGCCCGGTTAACAGATTCAGTATTTGTCTGCATAAAATTATTGATTTCTTTCTTCATTTTAACTGTTTTTGTAGGTGAAAAATATTTATTAACAAATTTCTGGGTCATTTGGTCCCATGTTGTAATGGAACCTCTTGGTAGACTTCGCAACCATATTTTGACTTCACATTTTCATAAAAAAGGAAAAAGCCGCAACCTGATAGCATCTGTTGTAACTCCATTGTACCTGCAAGTTTCAACTAATTCAAGAAAATCAATTAGATGGGTGTGAGGATCTTCACTTACATCACCAACAAACTGACATAACTACTGAATGGTTTGAATCAAGCCTGTGCGAGTTTAAAAATTATTTGTTGCAATTGGTGGTCTCCTCACACTTGATTCTCCTTCAAAATGATCTGGCCTTGCATAATCCCTAAGTATTCTATCACGTCGTGGTGCTACCTCATCAAACTGTTCTTCTATTTGATGTGGTGGAAGTTGGTTATTGAGTTCTTCGTTCTCCATTTCCTCTGATGTGCAAATTTGAGATCGTGAGGTTTTTTTCTTTTCGCAACAACTGCAAGGATTTTTCAATTTCAGGATCATATTCGACTAGTTCTCTTGAAGAGGAGCGGGTCATACACCTTCTGAAATTTCTGCAAAAAAAAAGTTAAAATAATGAGACAATAAGAAAAAATCTCAAACTAGTAGTAAAACAATTAATCTGTAGTATACTTTAGCCAATCCCCAGCAACGATGCCAAAAGTTTGACGAGTGTCTAACGTATATAAAATTCTAACTCGTACTCTGTCAAATGATAGTATAGAAATATGTCGAACCCACAGATTGATTTATCCATTTTACAGACGTTTCTTATTTTAATTACTATTTGAGAAAATGAGAAAGAGTTGAGTTGTGAATTAACTAACTAAAAATGCATGAATAGAGCAATAGAAAATATTTTGTTTTTCACAAGTACAATAAAAAGGAGTTGGGATCTTGACTTCACTTAATATTTCTATTATATAGTAGAATTATTATTCGTCAATTTTTATTTCTCAAAAATGTATAAATGCCTCTCACGATTACAAATATATATTATTACTCAAGTTGAATAATTAATTGCACTCCTCTCAGTTACACAAATTAATCTTCAAAATAAAAAAACTAAAGAACCAAAAATGTATGATTGAACTAAAACATGCTCTTGTTAGTATGTCCATTTTGGTTACCCTACTTGTTATAGCTGATTATTACACTATTCGCCTCTCTCGATTACAAATTTTCACGATCCAAAATCCTAACCTGTCGTGATGGCACCTATCGATGGTACTAGGCAAGCCGATTTTCAAAATACTTCAAATATTTCACGACCAAAAGCTTGATATGACAGAGTTTTCATAAAGACATGAGTTAAACTCAAAATACAATGCGGAAAAATAGCCCCAAACATCAGGTGTCACCAAGTCATGAGCATCTAAACAACCAGTCTAAGAAACAGAGTCCACAAGAGTCTATGTCTAAATGCCAATACAGAAAAGAAAGATAACAAGAAAGGAGAGACAAGGACTGCGAATGCCGACAACTATCTCGTGAATCTACGATACTCAACCAACCACGAGATCAACGTCCTCTGTGACCGGATACACCTGGATCTGCACATGAAGTGCAGGTGTAGCGTGAGTACAACCAACTCAGTAAGTAATAAAAATAAATAAGGAACTGAGAAGTAGTGACGAGCTATACAATTACTGTTCACTTCAGTAGTTTCAACAATGAAAGTATACATGATTCAATTCCGGCAATATAAATTAAGTCAGTTGTACATTTACTCAGTTTAGATAAACCGGATACAATATTTTTCCAGAAGTTCAGAACAATGACATAATTCAACTAAGTGCAGCAACAAAGGAAACAAATGCAACCTTTCAGGGTAACAATCACCCATGCTCTCAATAGCTCAAACACTCGGCTCTCAGCCATCAATAATTACACTCAATAGGTACCTGCGCTTACTGGGTGTGTATAGACTCCGGAGGGGCTCCTTCAGCCTAATCGCTATATCGCTGCGACGTGTAGCCCGATCCAATCATATAAGTAGCCATGAGGCTCATTGCGGCGTGCAACCCAATTCACAATCTATAAATAGCCATAAGGCTCATTGCGGCGTGCAACCCGATCCATATACATTCAGCCCTCAGGCCCGTTGCGGTGTACAACCCGACCTATATACACTCACATAGCTCACAGCTCGGCACTCAAGCCCTATCTCAGTCACTAACTTCTCCATCCCATCGGGCTCTCAGAAATCATACAAATCAGCCCAAAAGAGATGATAATAAGTATCAACAAGAAAACAAGAGGAAACAGAGATATGACACGCAAGTAAAACTATGACTGAGTAAAAGACAGCGATCAGATCACTGCGAGTCCCAACAGTGATATCATATAGCCTAAGCAAGTTATCTAACATGAATGGCATTCAAATTTCTAGAAGACATAGAGAACATGTAATTAACAATAAGTTATTCGACTTTACAGTCTCACGGGACGGACTAAGTCACAATCCCCCATGGTGCACACCCACACGTCCGTCACCTAGCATGTGCGTCACCTCCAAAATAATCACATCATACTAAAAATTCGGGGTTTCATACCCTCAGAACCAGATTAAGACAGCTACTTACTTCAAACCGCGCAAAATCCTACTCCAAAATGCCTTTGCCCCTCGAATCAGTCTCCAAATGCCCCAAATCTAGCCACAAGCAGTACGATATAAGTAGTATAGGCTAAAGGAATCAATTCTACAAGAAAAACACAAAATTATAAGCCGAAATCCTAAATAGGCTCAACCTCCTTCCCCCCCCCCGGTCCCACGTATCAAAATACGACGAATGTCACAAAACCCGAAAGCCCATTCACTTACGAGTTCACTCATACCAAAATTATCCAAATCCGATATCAAAATCTCAATCAAAACCCAAAATCTTAGTTGCAGAACTTCTTCCCATTTTTCCCAAATTTTCCATCCAAATGCGAAATTAAAAGATGAAATTAGTGATGGATTAGTGGGATATAACAAAAATCAAATGAAGAATCGTTACCCAATTGATTTCTCCGAAAATCCCTCAAAATCTCGCCCAAATCCGAGCTCTCAAACTCAAGTTTTGACAAAAATGGCCAAACCCTCGTTTTTGAAATCTTATATTCTGCCCAGGCAAATCCTTCTTTGCTAACGCGATACCCTTGTCACGAACGCGAAGACCACTCAACTCAACCCTACGCGAACGCGGGACCAACATCGCGAATGTGAAGGCAAAAAGGCCTGGGGTCCCAGCCGCTTAACTTTCTCTACGCGAACGTGATGCCCTTCTCGCATTCGCGATGCACTGCCTAACAACCCCTTCGCGAACGCGACCCCCACTTCGCGAACGCGAAGAAAAATCTTCCTCTTGCCTCTAGCTCCTCTTCGCGAACGCGGAACACCCCTCGTGAACGTGAAGAAGAAAACCAGCAACTGGGAAAACCAAAAAATCTGCTATCTTTCACAAGTCCAAAATGATCCGTTAAGCATCCGAAAGTCACCCGAGGCCCTCGTGACCTCAACCAAACATACCAACCAGTCCTAAAACACTATACGAACTTAGTCAAGCCCTCAAATCACATCAAATAACAACAAAAACACGAATCACCCTACAATCCAAACTTAATGAACTTGAAACTTTAAATTTCTACAATCGATGCCAAAACCTATCAAACCACGTTCGATTGACCTCAAATTTTGCACACAAGTCATATTCAACATTACGGACCTACTCCAACTTCCGGAATCAGAATCCGACACCGATATCAAAAAGTCCACTTCCGGTCAAAATCTCCAAAAATTTAATTTTTTGCCATTTCAAGCCTAATTCTACTACAG